TAGATAAACTACAGTCGACCCCCCTATCACCCTGTTGATAATTCCGTTTTATATGAATTCCGTGTTGTACGAGTCACTTAGATTTTACAAATACGTGAGCCGTTCACAGCCCGGCACACGTATTTGTAAAATCTAAGTGACTCGTACAACGTGGAATTCATATAAAACGGAATTATCAACAGTGTTATAGGGGGTCGACTGTATAAGATGATAAACGCATAGAAATCAATAGTAAACGTTCATATAATTTATAATAGACTAAATATAGATCTTTTGCTTTACTTCTATAAAATCTCTGCCTAAAAAAAAGAATTAAAAAATAAATAACTATATCCCAAAAACTATGTATTTCAATTAACTTAATTGGACTTTAATAACAGTGGAGGAGTGGATAAAACCCTTGAAAGCTGATAGATAGTTGATTACGGGGATTCGCACCTAACCAATAGGATGGACAGGTGAAGTTTTACAGATTTTCTTCACATATATAACATTTAAATAGTGGTCAACTTCCCATAGAAAGTCCTCTTGGGAGGGATTTCTCTTGGCATATCTAAATAGTGGCCAGTTTCCAGGAAAAGTGTGCCTCTTGAGAGAGATTTCCTTTGGCAGATCGCCCAAGTGTTACGTTGTACTATTCCAATAATCCAACTAATAATAAAGATTTTCGTGCCATCAATTTTGAAGATTTATCTTTCAAATTTCCGCGTGAGGTTCTAAATCGTCCTAGGTTTATGTACGAATTTCATCTTTGTTTATGGCACTCTCGTTCAATAGGTTATAAAATCAGCTAATTCAGAGATGTGGAAAGGGAGTCTCTGTGTGAATTATTAATGGAAAATCAGGAATAGATTAGAAAGTCTAATATTTCGCTGTGAGATTCATTGTATGGAAAGTAATAAAGTATAAAAATTATTTTCTATTGTCGTGAAGGATTCAACATCAAATTCAATTTGAATTATAACGATTTTTATGAATCGTTTGTATTAGATATTATTTAATATTCCTTATTTATTATGTCAGAAACAGCGGTAAAACATTATATTGAAGGTCTTCAGGCTGATGCTTAAAATCCTTAAATATAAAATGGCACAATAAAGTTAGTTCTGACAAAAATTTTAAACAAGACATGAAGAACCACAATGGCAATGCAATGAATATTATAAATATCAGGACCATGTTATGTTACTTTGGATCCGGGTGCAAGAAGAAATCGGGTCTTCTTTTTATTTGAGGTAAGAATGGTTTTTGGACTCTAGTTTCTGGGATCAAAGCGGATTAGCGCCTCGAGAACTGTATTGTCTTAGCCAAAGAATTAAATCGGGTGTACTGTACATAAATGTTATACAATAAAACGTAGTTTATTAATTTCTACAAAATAGTTAGGCATATGGAGTAGCACAATACAATAAACAGGGATCTAATGGGTTCAAAATAAATATAGGTTATATATAATATACTATTTTAACTTTTTTATTGTTTTAAATGCAGGAATAGGATTGGTTACGTATTATTTATTTATTATATATTGTTGGATTCAAGGATGTATTAATAAACCATGATATTGTAAGTTTTACATTGTTTATTTTATTGTTGGGAATTTTATTTTTTATGTTTTATATAAATTTGTAACGATTTTATAATTGATTTTTTAGAGAATGTCGGTCGGAAACCTGCTGATTAGGGGCCAAAAGGTCCGAAACACAAAGATATCGTGTATGTGTTCAGTTGATAAATAAAAGACTATTTTTCTGATTTGATTATTTAACTTGCAGAACCAGTTATCTAGTATAATAAGTCCTAGTAATAAATTAAGTCCTAGTTGACAATTTAAGCATAAATATAATATAGTCGACCCCCTATAACACTTGATTATTCCGTTTTATATGAATTCCATGTTATACGAGTCACTTAGATTTTACAAATACGTGTGCCGGGCTGTGAACGGCTCACGTATTTGTAAAATCTAAGTGACTCGTACAACATGGAATTCATATAAAACGGAATAATCAACAGTGTTATGGGGGGTCGACAGTATACTGTTTTATTAACATAGGAAGAAAACTCAGAAATATTCACGTGACCAGACAGCCATTTGGACAGGCGTGAACCCGCGACCAAGTAGAAGTTGTTCTAAAGGTAACGGTGTTCTGTGTTACTAAAACTCTGCTTGACAAATCATAGATAATAAGACAAAAATTAGAAAGAAAAATAAGGCAAACACTCTTATCACAGATGAAACCAGCTTGATCATTGGCCCGTGTTTCATATTTACAAATTTTATTATTTAAGAAATATAATACAACTTTCAAAAACACTGTTTTGTTTTAATGTGCTGTGGGTCGATAATGTATGACGTGTACTTCTTAAAGGCCAGGCTATTCGCTTTATCCTTTAATACCATTTGATTTATATTTTTTATTTAATGATACAGTATTTAATTAACCTTTTTGTTATTTTTACAAAATCTCTGTCTAAATATTAGTTTTTCCAAAGTATAGTTAATGTTATATATAATATTAACAATTCCTATACAGCATTATATATAAATGGAAGGTGATAAATATTACTTGTACAGTACATATCACTAGAATTACTAGAATTAGCGGTCCTCATACCCAACAGTAGTTGGGTATGAGGACCGCTAATATTTAACCAATGGGAAACCATATTAGAAGTTTACTTGCTTTACCACCCAGAAACAATGGGTCTGTCTTCCAGCTATTATTTTTGAATGGTTGTTTGAAAATAAAAACGTAAAAAATTTATAAAGTTTATAAACATTATCATTTCTGAGTATTAATTATTTGAAGAAATTACTAACCTGTTTCAAATTTACGATTCTGTGAATCGGAATCAACGATTTAAAGACGGGTTTAATTAATTCATTAGTTCACATGTTTATTAATATTTTATCCTTTACTATAACACAAACAGGAAGAGATATAAACATTTTCCTCGGAAGTAAGAACATTCTATCTATTCATTTAGGGGTGTGTCGTGAATTCCAAATAGTGTAAACTAACATAGTGTAACAGGAAGCGGAATAGAATAAAATAAGGGGGGTCCCTGTATATTGGATAACTGACTCATCCGTCGTTTTGAATCTTATCAGTCATTTCTCACTTGTGTTGCAAGCATTAATGACAATTTTATTTTAAAATTTGATGTATTTTATTAAGAAAATTTCCCATTAATTTATTTATTTTCATAAGTAACATAAATGATCGTTTAATTATTAAAATAAAGGGATTAAATTTAAGGAAAAAAATATATATAAATGTTGAAAAATAATTCACAATATTCCTTCAAAAATTGTAAATAATACTGATAAAAGAATAATGAATCGAATACAGTAGAATGAATTAATGTTTTGAATTTATTATTCCTGTCATTATCTAGCAGAAGATGATCTGAAATAAAGCAGAATAAATTAATAAATGTATACATTATTTATACAGGAAATATCTAAATAAACTGTCTATACTACAAATATATTGTATATTACATTATATACTACATACAGTGAGATATGGTATATGGTACAATATTTATAGTAAAATTTATTTATAAAATATATCACTATGCAGCATGTAAACATTGCAGTTGTAGGTTGTGCAAGGCTCTTTTACATAAATTTAAAGCTTGAATCACAGGAAGAGTATCGAGAAGCCTCAGGAATTGCATTACCAGTACTGTAGATCCCTCTATAACACGGTAGATAAATCCGGGTTGTATGAATTCCATGTTGTACGAGTTACTTAGATTTTACAAATACGTGTGCCGGACTGTGAACGGCTCACGTATTTGTAAATAGACATGTATTTGTACAGTACCTGTCTGAGGCCCTTAAAGACACGAGATCCTAAACAAGGGCCTAAGTTGCCTTTGCCTGAAGCCATCACTGATTACTGTAGTATAGATTAATATGTGGTAATATAATTATTAAAAATTTTAAGATTAATTTTCCTCTAAAAGCAATAAAATAATGAAAATCACAACATACAGTTTAGCTCAACATTTGCCATTATGTCCCGAAAGATTTGGGTAGTCTACTATTCTTCTAAATAGTAGAATATAAATTGCTAAATAGTTTAACTGAAAAATTAAACTGTTAAATTACGTTTAATTGAATTAACACAGCTTTTATTTATATTCCTCCGTTATAAAGAATTAAATTATTTTATATTAATTATACAGATTGTCCCAAAAATATGGATTCAAAAGCTCAAATTGATGGCTTTAAACTTCAAAAAACTTGCATATTATCTAAATAAAAGAACGTTGAACATTAATTTTTATTAATTTTTACAGATTATTGAAGAAGTGGTTCTTTTTTTTACACGCAGAGATGGCTTCCTTCTTTGATGCAACGAGCAATACCCAGACCAACGCCCTGAGTAATGGTTTCTTTGAGATATTTGAAGTCAAAGAAAATTCCTCACAGAAATAGAAAAGTGTTGACTTGCTGAACCACATTTTATGTCATTCCAACAAATGGATATAATCTAATAATCTAAAATTATTCTAGAAATTTCAAATTTTATCTTGTGAAAAATGCCTTTGGATCCAGACTTTTTGAACACATAAATATTTAAATACAGTAGAGCGTCGATTATCCGAATCAATTGGGAACTGGAATTGTTCGGAAGATCGATGTTTCGGATAACCGATTGTGCACGAAAAATATATTAATTTATCCCATCTTGACATTTTTCTCCGTTGTGTGTCGCTTCGCGTTGAATTTTAGTCGATGTTAAGCCTAACGAAGACTATTGTATCGTTAAAAATTATTTTTTTATTTTGTACGAACAAAATAAATATATTGAAAAATATAAAAACAATAAAAAATTATACTTCAGAAGTTAATTTAGTATCAAAAACGTAAAATATTTGAGTAGCCCAAGACAGCCAAAGATTGCAGTGCCAAAGCACTGGTGAAAATTTAAGTTTGCCGACTGGAATTCTTTCGGATGATTGAC